CAATTTATCTGTCTATCTATAACATGATGTATAATGAATATTTAAAATTTGAACATAATCAGTGAAAGCAAGTCAGACATATGGCACGAGAACCACATTCATTAAAACAAAATGGCTGCCAGTTGGCCATTTTGAATCTTATTTGAAAAACAAAATTATTTGCATCAAGGTCCCATAATGTCTAATGTATATACCAAGTTTGAACAAAATCCATCTGTAAACAGCCGAGAAATGCTTGATTTTGATGATTTTTTATCACAAAAATGGCCACCATTCGGCCATCTTGAATCAGATCGTAAAACAAAATGATGTGGATCAAGGTCCTCTAATGTCTAATGCATATACTAAGTTTGAACAAAATCCATCTGTAAACAGCTCAGAAATGCTTGTTTTTGATGATTTTTAGCACAAAAAATGGCCGCCATTCGGCCATCTTGAATCAGATCGTGAAACAAATTGACGTGCATATGTATACTATCATGTATGATGTATGTGTGAAGTTTGATTGTGATTGGTCCAGGCATTTCTAAGATACAGGTCCGGACGCACGCACAGACGCACGCACGCACGCACGCACGCACGCACAGAGGTCAAAACATAAGTCCCTGTTTTTGGACTGCGTCCGAAAGGGGACTAATAAATATAGTAGGTTTTCTAATTTGTTTGGCCCTGCTCACAGTGTATCACAAGTTAAATTGATCACAAAGTGACTTATAAAAACCTCAGAAGCAATCTAGTATTTCATTTATGGGTTGGGGTGATTGGGTTGGAGGGGGGTGCATGAGAAAAACAACCAACCGGTATGTATTCATCACTAGGCATGATATGTACATGGCTCCATGTGAAGACAAAACTAGCTTAAATATTTACACCCACCCCATCATAAATAATGGCTCTACCCTAACTATTCTTAAGAAAGATGAAATGTAAGTTTTAAATTTCTTTTATCATATAACTGCATAATGCACAACATAGTATGCATTTTAAAACACTCTTACAATGGTAATAGAAAACTAGACATTCAGGGCTTGACTTTTAAACTTTTAAACTCACTAGTCTGTAATGTATATTGCCTATATTTACTGTAGTCTGTTACGACAAGTGAATTACTATTGAATTGTTTGAATGGCAATATGACTTGTCCCAGGCTACAGCTTTCCAGAATGGGACTATCTTTAGTGTCAAGACCTGCATTTATTTCAACCCTGAGTAATCCTATTCCTTGCAATCTCAAATACTGTGGAATACTTTATTTTCGCTGAAAAGGCTTTTTGGGCGTTTTTCTTGGAATTTATTTTCACTGATTTTTGATGAGTTTAATGTGAAATATAGGAAAAAAAGTATATTCGCTGGATTTTATTTTCACGGAATCATCCCTTCAGCGAAAATAGCGAAAATAAATTCCAAGCGAAAATTAAGTATTCTACAGTAAATTAAATAAATTCAATTTCTGAGAATTTAATTGAATTTTGAGACAACAACTGAATATTAGAACTGATGACAGTATATGTACTTAATATCAATTATTGGAAGCCTACTCAAAATAAGAATATACCTATTTTGATCCATTTTGCAATGAATTGTACTCCAGTCAATATAAGGATATTGACTTTAAAAAAAAGTGGGGTCACCAACCTATTTTTCATGAAAATTATTGTTGTATTTTGTCATTATTAGAACACTTTCACTATTGATTCCTATGATGGATAATCTATGCCATATCTCAAATTATTTGCATAAAGTGTCAGAATTATATATTGTGAGTGATGAGGTAATTTTATTAATAATAATCATTTCAAAAATCTCAGTTTTGAAAATTTATAAAAACATATTTGAATATTGTGTTCTAAAAATAGCAATTTTTGAATACCATATTTAAACAATTTCCTCAAAATAAAAAAATGCTGTTTCATAATACCATGGAAATACAGCACTATGACTATATAATAAACCAATATAAATTGTCAAGTGATTTATGACCAACTTTTCCACAAATTAGGAGTAGTCTGTCTTAACCTTTACACTACCAGTTCCCTGTTTCATCACAACTTCGTAAAATAGTCCTGTTTATAGTCTGCACTTTGATTGGGACAAAAAAAGCCAATTTTTGAGTGAAAACTGAAAATTTGGTCTGTTGGCTCATAAATTAAGATTCATTTCAGAAATATTGAAGAATATAAGAAAAGTGCAGACAAATTTGGGCGAGAAAGTCTTGCGGTGAAAAGGTTATAATTACCAATATCCTATCAAGTAGATGATTGACTGGGTGTGTATTCATTTGTGATAGTACAAGTCCAGCATTGAGAAAGTTACATCGCATGAAAGCTGATGGTTGTGATACCACTACACAGTGACCTTTCTCACCTCTACTGTCATTTTGCAATTCACATGTATACATACGAATGTACAAATGCTGAATTCTAGATAAAATTTGTTGAATTACAGCGAGTAAATAGCCAATATAGCGAGAATAATTCTCTACCATATTAGAAGTGAAAAAACAGAATAATCATACAATTGTATGGTGAGGAATGTTTGATTGGCTAATTATTTAACAGGGATAGATAGTTGAATATATCACTATATATGTAATTGGAACCGCTGTGATAATATAGAACTTACATCAATCATAACTTGCTGTGATTTTACATAGCTCAGTGAGTGAAGGTCAAATCAGCCAATTAGACAGACGCCTAAGAATCTAGCTATCACAGCATGCTTCAATTACTAAGATGAGGAGAACAAAATAAAGTCACTTTCTGTCGTCTAAGATGATTTCGTATTACATCATCAACAGATCCTAGAAAGCAAATGGCCACCGAAATCACACAGCTTTTTTATTCTCAACAAGACACTGGCAGCTATTTGTGTCTGAAGGTTTTTGATTTCATGGTATTTTATTCATATCATAGTTTAATAATTGAATTGATGTGGGGGTACATAATTTGTGATTTATCATATAGAAATTTTATTTACAGTTCAATAATTATGACTTATTATCAGGGTATAGATTCAGGTTTGTTTCGCATTTTTTTAATATCCTCTATTACCTAAAATGAAATAAGTTTTATCAGTTTTCCAGGACTATTTCATCAATTTTTTTTTTTATATCATCCAGTAATAAGATAGCTGGCTTCTTACACTGATCATTTAAACAATCCATTTATTTACATTTTAATAGTGATTCCAAGAGACCACTTTGCAATAGTACCAAGTATCAGTAGTGGCTTTTTACGCTGATTATTCATTTTAAAGAACTTTGCAAGACACCATACAAATTATTTGACTTTCCAGCGTATTTTATTACTGTATGATCTCGGCTGTACAGAGGAATGATATGTTACACAGTTGATGTACATCTTCTGATTACATAAGACCAATGGCCGGTAATTATACCCGGTACTATGTTATTGGCTAGTACGTTAATACTTTGTATATAAAAATAAACACTTTATACATACAATGCTAAAACAATGCAAAATAGCCAAAACCTTTGTTATCGAAAATCATTTCAAAAGTCAGGAATAGGAGAAACAAACATAAGCAGACTGCTTTTAAAAAAAAGTTTGGACATTTCACTCCAAAAAAAAAAATCTGATAAAACTTCGTTAAAGGTACAACAGTTGCCAAACAAATAAGTTTTACTCCAATGCGTCATCCAAATTTTTGATGTACATGAGCCACAAATATGGTTTATTTTCAGTTACAATTGAAAGTACATTTGGAATCACTAGCGAGGAAAGTAAAAAAATAACTTCAATATAAGCGTACTGAATGCATTCACGTACACACTTCTAACAAAACAATTATGATATCCTACCATATCTTGATTAAAGAAACAATCATGTGTATTTATGTTTGTTATAA